CCTGCTGAAGCTTCATTCAAGCACTGTCAAAAAGACCTTGATGGTCTCAATCACTTTATTTTGATTTAAAATGTTGGGTGTAATGAACAGTGCTTCTGTTTGTGACTATGCGTGTCTCAGAACAACACTAAACTAAGTGGGAGCAGCTCTGGCTAGTGTGGTATGAAGTAAGGAAGAAAAATCCACAATTATCTTCCTCCGCCTAAATGGTTACTAGCTGCAACTTGAAGTACTAGCAGTTAGAACCCACTCAGTTCTTTTCAAAGCTATTTAATATGAAAGTCATAGCTGGATCATTATCAAGAACAGCTCTATGAAAATGTTTTATGTTTATGATTACTTAGTGCTAATGCTAGTCAGCAAAAGGCATGAGAGCTAGGCTTAGTCTTAACCACAGTGAAAACATAACCACCCAAGTATTTTAATTCCAAGATAAGTAGATGCCAAACAAAGGCGCCCGCCATGGTTTGGGGGGCAGGGGGGAGTAGCCTGGTCCCTTGCACAACTTAATTGGGGCCTACATACCACTTTCTCTCTGCTTTGATAAAAGGAGCTTTGAGGGTCTTGGCAATAATCCTGAATTCCTTCAGTAAATATGTGAATAGCTCTCCAACAGACATGAATGAGTTACTTAAGACCCTTATAGTTTTTGTTTGTTTGTTTGTTTCTTTCTTTTTTTTTTTTTTTTTTTTTTTTATAAATTCCCTAACAAGTGCTAACTGTTAGTTGTTTTCAATCAAACATTTCTGACAATAGAATTGGAAGAACAAGTTCCTTGGCTTGTTCATAATTCTACTTACAATTTTTTTTTTCTGTTAATGTCTCCTTCTCCTCTCCTTGATTTTTTTAGATAAGGTGTTTTTAATCAACCTGTCCAAATTCCATCTCAGAATAGCTTTCTGACTTCCATCTTCACCCGAAACTACTTTTTATCCTCTATTTGTTTTCTAACATTTTCTCAAGGACACATGTAGTATACAAAAACATCTCTTTTATATTCTAAAGACAAAATCTTTTACATGGTCCTTTTGATCCACAGCTGGTAGCCATTTCTACTTTCAAGTATGCCAAAAGGATTAGTCAGCCCTGTTACAGCCAGCTGTGAGACCACCACAGTGAAACTGCCTTCAGCCATCAGCACACACCCCACCCCTGTCACTGCAGTGTCGCCAACCCTGTCCGCAGCTGCGGCCATCAGTGGAACCTTCACCCAATGCAGCATTTGGAGCTATTGTAGTAGGAAGTTTCCATGAAAGACTCCAAACCTCAGTGTCAGGTACCTGTGGTTGCATAAGGCTGCTGCTGACATCACCTGCAGTGTGAATTTACTTCAGACAACTTCATATGACTAAAGTTTCATATGAATAGCCACAATTCTAGATGCAAAGGTCACATGTACATTCATTTTTCCTTCTCAGACTCAGACTTTTCCACTCAGACTCATCCTAGCTATGCTGTGATTCCACAATTGAGACAGGTATCTGTCATCCACAAACCCTGGGAACAGATGTTTTAAAAGAATAGTAATCTTGATTAAGTCATCTACAGCATAAAAAGCAGCTAGTGGTACTTTCTCTTCCCTAAAATAAAACAAGGAATCCCAAATCCAAAAAGCATGCAAAATCTAACATGTATAGCCCTAATAACGTGCAAATATGCTTTTTCTAGATATGTCTGCAGGACTTTCTTGGATGAACCAAGGATTATTTTCCAGTTCAGCACAAGCAGCTTCACATATAGAAGTAGCAGGAGGCACTTCTGTTTCTAAATCAAGGTAACTGAAGTTTGTTTTTATTTGAGGCTATTGCTGCATGGTTATGGAACTTGCAGGACCTCACTATTTCATACTATTTACAAGCAGAAAGGGAGATCTTTCCTACTACAATTGATTTTTGATTGTGAAAAAATCTTTTGTAGTCTTCCTTGATAAAATAATTAAGTTTAAAAGGCCAAACCAACGTGTTTGAATTTTTGAACATACTGTTTTGAATCTGATTTTCAAAGGAGAATCACCTCCAAGCAGTTATTAACGGAACAGATCTTTCCGCCTAACCTTAAAATGCCTGTCTGGGCATAGACTACAAAGAGGTAATTATATGTGGAAGAAAGCCTGATAATACTTACGAAGGATATAAATTAATATCTTGTCTCTCAGTGCACTATTGCTTGACATGTCTTGGAAGTTTGTCCACAGTTGAGTCATAATTAAAAACAAACTAAAAGGAAAAAAAAAAAAAAAAAAAGACACTGCCCTCCTCCAAACACACATCCACACCCCACCTCCCGCTCCTCCCTCTCCCCCCACAATTTCATTGGAGGTTACCTCTACCTTTAAAAAAAGGACGGGGGGAGGAATTATTCTGGGTCAGAGTATTCTTTATGGCATTTAATAGCTTAATACACACACACACACACACACAAAGCAGCCTCCCAATCACCTTTTCTCTGCTGCTTTCCTGTGTTTTCAGCAGGGTTTTTTTTGTTTGTTTGTTTGTTTTGTTTTTAACTATTAGCTGTATTTTGTGTAAACCCTTTGGGATAGTTCCTTGTTGGTAGCATTTCTTTTCTTATGGGAATAGCCAAGGCCAAAAAGAAACCTTAAACCTTCCTGAGAAGTCCTCTAAATCTCAACATTTCTGTTGTTTTGCTAGCGAGAATCCAGGGTTATGTTTGGATGCTGAAGTGGCCTTAGCAACTGGGCAGCTCCTTGCCCCTAGCAGTCAGCAGTCCAGCAGTGCAACATCCCGCTACTCAGAATCACGGGGAGAAACGCCATGCTCTTTCAATGATGAAGATGAAGAGGATGAAGATGAAGATTCTTCCTCCCCAGAATAAAGACAATAGAAAACTGAGTATAGAAATACTTCTCATACACATTCTTAATGAGAGCTCCTGTTTTGGATTTTATTTAAGTGTCTTGCTTTTGTTTGCACTGTGTTCAGCAGAGATTCAGAACAAACACATCCAAAGCTGAAATTGAAAATTTTTTGCAGTTGAACACAGAGTGATACCCAGATGCAGAGCAAAGTGTTTTTTATCAACTACAACCACGGAAAAGAACAAAGTCCCTGGAGATTTGGCAAAGTAAACATCAAGTTAACACTTCCATTTTGGGACATTATGTCTTAAGTCTCTGTTTTCCCCTTACCATAACCAGATAGAGAAGAAAACAGGGTCAGTCAACAAATGCTGATTCTCACATTGTCTTTTGGCTGTGCTACCTTCAAAAAAAAAAAAAAAAAGAAAAGAAAAAAAGTGTGTGCACAGTCATGTGCTAAATAGCTATTTAAAAATATCTTGTATGAAAATTATTATAGGGAGAGGGGCTGTTAAAATGTTTGCTTTTTTCTGTTCAACTTCCTGTATAGAAGATTCTTAAAGTAATATAAATCGCAAGTGATTTATCGCAATGAATCTTGAAATAGATTAAATCCATTTTAGATACTCTAAAATAATATTAGTATGTCTCTTTTGAAAGGTTCATATGTTCGTTCATACTGCAGGTCCTATTTATTTATAATAAGTGATTACTCTCCCATTATTAGTCAGGAGCATATTCTCTTCACCAGCTTTTTTCCAAGGAGAAAAAAAAATAAGTGAAAAAATGTATTTATAGATTATAGTGTATCCAGTGTAACTTCTCCTTTACTGTTCTAATTTTGTAAACCATTTGATTTTACAGCATGTATATTTGTAAAAGAGCCTTTATGTTAAGAATTTGGGCAACATCTTTTCAAGGCAAGATTTTAAAATTCAAGGCAGGCAAGTGAAACTTTTGAAGTCATAGGTTAAGATTTAAGAAAAAAATAATTTTGACAATGCACAGTGGCATTAGGAATATAATAATATACTAATTTAACTTGTTCATAGTTAACTTCTGTTGCATGCACTTTGATGCGTCTCTGGAAAATATTAATACCAAGCAACTTCTTAAAATAATTTGTGGCTGGCGTTATACAATGTGAATCCCATTTGAACATTTGAATTAGGCTTGTAACAGGAGGCTCCGTATGTTATATTTAAAATCAAATCCAATCTGAAAGACTTAAAAAAAATTTAAATAGCAAAGCAAAATATAGTACAACTGGTTCTCTTCTGATGGTGTTCTAACATTCAGTATTTTAACAGGTCTTGAAGTTAACCTTTTAATTACGTGAATCCACTTAAAAATAGGTTATTTCTTTTTATTTTTTATACTACCTGTAAATAGTGAACTATCTCTAAGTACCAATGTATTAGCTGCAGAATACAATGACTTTGGTTCTGTTACTTAGTTACAGATTAGGCAACTTTTGATACCTTACTCAAACATGGTGGCAAGCCAGATCCCTTGATTCTTGTAGCTGTTATTCTAACACAGTCTGTCCGCACCATCTTTTCCAGCCAAATCTATATTTCAGCCAACATGGTCCAAAAGCACTGTGCCCAAACTAGCAAGACAAACTGAGGCTTAAACTAGAAAGATACTGCAAGGAACATGCAAGCAGACCTGCAGCCTCGCATTAAAAATTAAAACATCCAGGTAGAAACTTTAAACAAATAGTTTAAACTCCTACATTTGATGTACAGATAGGCTGGTACCATTATTTAGGCATAGCTCTCATTTGTGTAAATAGAGCTATTGAGGTTACCCAAATGACTCACAAATTCACAGAGAAAAAAAATCCTGTTTTCTTATCATGTTATTTACCCTCTGGGCAAGACTGTTAGACTATCCTATACACACGCCTCATAGACAACAGCTGACCAAGGCATGTATAGTAACCTCACTTCAACCAAATCTGTCAGACTACCTCTATATAAAGAAATAAAGCTTTACAAGTACAAATATATATATATATTATCACAGAAGGATTCAGGGCACTTGATTGAAGTGGCTCACTTTTGTAGTAAGAGGACGAGCTATTCCATGCATACTGCTATGGAATTACCAGTTTTATGAATGACATTTCATACAAACAGATTTTTTTTTTATTCTTAGTATTACTATGTTTTAGCAAACTACTCTGTTAGCAGAGATGGCAGAACAAAGAGACTGCTACATTCAGGGCATCCTAATGCAAGCTTAAGGACAGAACATTTTCTAAATACTTTACTATTCCCTCAGGCGTCATACACTAGGGGATGTACCTGACTTTACACCTTCCTTATATTTCCATTTCAAAATTTGCATTAAAAAAAAAAGTAAAACCAAAACACTAATCTAAACAGTAAAAAAACAACAGTTTGAATTACAAGAAGCTGGTTAAAAAAAAAGGTACGTCCAGAAGTGTACGGCATTTTCCTTGCTTTGTTGTGCTGCTTTTAAGGAGGAGGATTTGTGATATCTTGCTCCCACTGATACCCATTTCCTTCAGAGCAGCAGACTGCACAGCTACTTGCTTTCTGGCAAACCTAAAGCTATCAGCCAGTACAGTTTCATTATTATTATTATTAGTGTTGTGGTTGCTTGTTTGAAATCTAGGAGCATATAACATTGATGTAGATGGTTGAACCGTGATTTCCAATTTTTTTTTTTCTGAACTAGTTGAATACAAAGGACAAAACAAGTTTAAACACTTAGAAAAGGCTTCAAAGGGAAATTCTCCCCTTGGGATTCTTTGTGCCAAGTTGCAGTTGAGAATGAAGTTCTACTAGAGCACTGTGGTCTTGTGGTTACACTAAAGTCTGGGAACTAGGAGAATTCTGGTCCTCATCCAGCCATAGTGACTCCCTATATGATTTCAGGCAAGTCTTTCAACCATTCTTGCTCATTAGCTGACACATTAAAAAAAAAAAATGTAGTAGAACCTTAGATGTTGCATCTGAATTGAGCTCTGAGGCAATTGCGAGTTACAAGAATATTAACTGCACCGCTCCCACTAAGTTAATGGCACTAGCCATGTTTTCCAAAGTAATAGGGTTCTCCCCTTTTCTAGTCAGCTGCCACGCTACTCTCTTGTGCAATAGCCTTAATATACATTCAGATGGAACAACTAGCAACCGATACTAGATTTTATCTTCTGTAAGGCAGAGTTAACACTTTAGTTTCCATTAATATCTGAAGTCTGTCTCTTGAACACTATTTATTGGTTACACATTCAGATAGCAGTTGGCTGAAGGCAATATAATGCTCTATAGGTAATGGTTTTATATATATATATTGCAAGTAAACAGTTTTTCTGGACTTACTTTATGGTGCTTGAAAATAATCTAAATTTGACTTAGAAAAACTTGTCACCACTGCAAACTGGATGAAAAATTATGTGTGGGATACACCATTTTTCTACTATGTGGAAATCAGATACATCAGTTGTAGACTTTGGTTTTTAAAGTTACATTAAAGTTATGCCAGTCTTGTGAGTTCAAAACTGGAATTAATGTCAAAAATCCACCTAAGAAAGCAGGTATATTTAAGTAAATGCTAAAGCACATAGCATTAGTTTACCTCAAGGTATGATTTTAACTAACTTCAATAAACTAGTACAAGCCACACTGAAGATATTTCCATTTTGGTCAAGGGGTTTGGTGTGGTGGTGGGGAACATGGACTGTTCTTTCAAAATATAGTTTGAAAATATTCCTAATCTGTTTGAGCAGCTGCAAATTGCTGAGTATACAGATCCTCAGGTATCTGTACCATCTGATAGTAGCACAATAGCCAGAGACCTAACACAGCCAAATTTTATTTTCCTCTCCTTTTCTCTCCCCCCCGCCAAATACAAAAGGCAGCACCTTCAAGTTTATCCATTAAACAATGAAGCAGGAAAATGACCATAGGCACTTGTAAAGTTTTGAACAATAAATTTTAATAACAGTCATACTTTGACGAAGCACTCTTCTCTACTATAAGCTTAATTTATTTTAAAGAGATGCTGCAGTTGAGCGCTCCCTGTATCCTGGGATATTTCATGGCTGAAACCATCAACCCCTCAGCATTGGAAAATTGTGCCTATTGCAGCATTATTGATGAACCCTTGAGAAGCTAAGATTTAAAAAAAAAAAAAAAAAAAAAAAAAAAAAAAAAACAGGCCACTTACATAATGAATCTTGCCCTATGTCCACTACAACCATGACAGAAAAGCATTCAGGATTTGTCACTCACTCACCCTTCCACGTCAGCTGTTCTAAACATGTTATTTGCTGTTGGCAGGTATACACCCAACCAAGTCCTGACACCGAGACTCTCATGCCATAGATTAATGAGTTCTCAGATCAGGCTGTGTATCTGTGCTATTAATGCTTTGGAATTAGTTTGGCAAGTGCTTTTTTAGGTGTCTATGAACAAATGTTCTCCTCTGAATCCAGCTGTATTGCCAAAACAAAAAGCACCTTATTCCCAGTTGCCCATTCCCTCTGCTCTGCGAGTTAGTACTCAGGGATACCTAGCCCAGCTGGTGCTGGCAGTCACATGGGGGGACCACTAACAAAAACACACAGGCTCAAGAAATCAAAGTGGTTATTTGTCACAGCTGCTTACAAAGTGCTTGTTCATTCAACACCTTTAATATTCCCACTTTGTCTGGCCTACCTCAAAGATCAGCCAAAACCAAAATGTTTCCCTCCTGCATACTTCTTTCCTACAGTACCAAACAATCCAACAGTTCAGACATTTAAAGAGGCACAAGACTGAAAATCCCTCCTTAGCACTAGGAGAGGAAGACAGTTGATCTCACAATCCAAATCCTACTGGGCTGCAGGGGAAGTCTCACACTTAGGAACAATGAGTAACAATAAGCAAATGAGTTACACCAGCTGACAACAGGAAATAACTATCTAAAATTTAAATCCTGCTATAGATTTAAATCAAACACTTTATACAGTATTTCAGAAATTTTTGGAAGACAAAACAAATCTCTCCCAGAGACTTGTTTTAATGCTTTTATGGTTAGCAAGGCTGAGCGAAACACAAATGGATTCCTAGCACTAGCTGGTTCTTATGCCTTCCATGTAGCAGCAATGGTTCATCTGTGAGATGTAAGCAATAAAAGAAGAAACGTCCACCACATACACATAACCCTTCCACTGAAACGTAAAGATAATTCAGTAGAAACACTTCTGTTTATATTGCCTTTTTTTTTTTTTTTGGCGAGAATTCAATTTGATTTCTATGTCAACCTTTTGGCAACATATTGTTTTCATTATCTTTTTGGTCACATACAACTCTGGAACAGACACATAACTTGAAATATTGACCAGAAAACATTAACTCACACAAACATCAGTCGCCTTTTTCAGAATGGGGG